TATAAACCATAGCAAGACTTTAGGAAAGCTAGTTCAAATATGAATCAAGATACTTAAAACTATTCATCATCTTTGACCCAGTGATGCCATCCCTAAGCCTAGTTCGAGAAAACAATAGAACGCATGGGTTAAAAAATTACTGAAGCACAAGGCTGCTCACGATTGTGATGGATATAATAATAAATGTTTGTAATGTGTGAAGTGATATTTATAATAAAAATGTCACCTCAAAAATTTTTTTAAAGATTAAAATGATTGAATAGATTCCACATACGAGTGATATCATATGGCATTTTTCTTTCTCTTTCTGGCTGATTTCACTTGCAATGATGATCTCTGGTCCATCCATGTTGCTACAAATGGCATTATTTTATTCTTTTTTATCTCTGAGTAGTATTCCATTGTATAAATATACCACAATTTTTTATCCAGTCATCTGTCAACAGGCATTTTGGTTACTCTCACAGAAACAGACTTGCAGACATAGTAAACAATTTTACGGTTACTAGGGGGGAAGGGGGTGGGAAGGGATAGATTTGGGAGTAAGAGACTTGCAAAATGTAGCCACTATATATAAAAATAGATGTAAAAAAACTTCATCTGTACAGCACAGGGAACTACATTCAATATCTTGTAATAATCTTTAATGAAAAAGGATATGAAAATGAATATATGTATGTATATGCATGACTGGGACATTTTGCTGTATGCCAGAAATTGACACACTGTAGCTGGTTGTACTTTAATTAAAAAAAAACTTATTATAAAAAAAAGAATAATTTTTTAAAAATAATAGAAAAATAAATAAAATGGTTGAATAAAAGCAAAAGGACATTAATTAGGCTATTTATCGTGCAGTCATTAAAGCTGTATTTTTAGATATTGTAATACAAATTAAAAGCTTTGGGAATAAAGAAAAGAGATCTCAGACTTCCCCTATGGGAAAGTGCCTTATAGGAAAACCATAGGGGCTTCAGGAATGAGTGAAAAGAGCTACTTATGTGTCCTTTCTTGAGCGAGGCAAACACCCACATTGTCCCAAAACACAGCGTGTCTATTCCCTCTTCACGTCCTGGCTCTGGCCAATCTGTTTTTAACAGGGGACCCCGGTCCTTAACTCTATTTTAATTTTAGCTGTCCTTGCTGCAAACTCATCCTATTTCCTTCCACAATTTCATGATGATTCTAGGACACAGAAAGTTGATATCATCGCTCAGTCTTCTAGATCTGCATTTACAGTTATGGTATCACGATAGCTCTCTGGGTCTCAAGCCATACGAAAGATGTCAAGAATGCTCCATCATTAAGTTCACGTCCAGAGGCCTCCAACACATCTCCCTTGCATGAGAAAGGAAATCAAATAGAGGGTTTATTTTGCATCTGCGGCCCAATTCCCTCCATTCCAGTCCCAGCTCTGTCCTTTGCTGTGTTGCCCTGAGGAAGATGTGGCCCTCTCTGGGCCTCAGGGTGCTCAGCTATGAAATGGAGATGATGATAATAATAATCATTTCACTTTATCAGTGTGTTGTGGACCAATCTATGTATCAGGCTCCCATGATCAAAACCTCTTCCTTTTCATCTTAACTTGGATTCATAAATATACCATGACCAAGCTATACCTTGAGGACTCAGTGGTTTGGTTTCAATGACACCCCCTTCTAAACTTGCATGTTGTATGAAGCCAATAACCATGGTAATCATCTCTGGTGGTCTGAGATCTGATCATCGGGCAGGGTGCCAGGACTAGATCTAGACTGAAAACATTGCTTTACCTTCAGTTCTACTTCTGGCGAATAGGATCCAACTTAGAGGAGAAACTTGCTAACCCAAAGATCTTATGGACACGCTAGTGTTCAACGTCAGTTTATGGGATGTGGGATTGTCTCCCATTTCCCCCTTAGACAGGGAAGCAGCCATGGGTTGGAGAGGAATTACCCACACAGAGTCACCCATCACCTCTCACTAAGCAAGAGGTTTTGAACAAAGTGTGTTTGAAAAGTAACATAACTCGTGTACCAAGTTCTCCACGTGTCGTCAGGTGACAAGGAAAGAGAATTGAAATACAGTGGTGATATATCTAATTTTAACAGCAGCCTGCCACATTTAAAGACTTCAGGAATTCCCATTGGGCAGTTACTCAGAGTCCATCACATTCTCCTCCTCGGCCAGACCTCCTCTCTGACCCGCAAAACCAGGCAGAAGGAAGAGAATCCTCTCTGTCCTGAGTCTGCACTGTTGGTTCCCAGTTACTAGGAAGCACCAACGATGCAGAAAACAAAACCAACCCTGAAGAGCTTGAAAAGACAAAAGACAGTTCCTCAGGATAGTATGAGTTTTAACTATTATTATAAATGCCAGGAATCTGGGGCTCATGCCCTTACTGCTCTGACCGTGGGTGACTATTTCAAGAAGACAGACCCCAACACACCAGGACCCTGCCATTCCCAGACCAGCAGGGCTGTGACCGTGCACATTTTGCTTTAGCCTGAGGGGATCTGGTGTGCCGTCTTCTGTGTTTTAATAGCGCTCATCTCTGATCCCCCACATTCAAGAGACAGGCTTTTTGAAGGCAGGAAAGCCTGGCTGGTTTGACTCGGTTTACAATTCTGACTCAAAGCAGTGCTCCTCACCCAGTGGGGGACAGAGAGGGATTTGTTACAGGGAGGAAAATTCTGGAACTGCGCAAGCATCTAAGGTGTGTGTGGCAAACCTCACAGCCGCCCGAGCACCTCTGGTTTGTCCTGTCGGGGTGCCCGGAAGGGAAGAAGGTGTTTAAAAAGCATTGCAGCCCGTGGTACAGGCACTGAGCAATTTCACAGAATGGAGAATGGAAACTTGTTTTAAAAAATGGTATTTTTAAGGCTTGAATTCAACATGGAGTTTCCTGCTCACCAACTAAACATTAACATCTCACCTCCAACAATTTCAACTTCATACTTCTTTTAAAGGCTAGAAAATCTCTTACTTTCAGCCTAATGAGTGGAGAAATTCAGAGGGGAACATTCATAGAGATGAACTTCTCAAGAGATTGGGAACGTCTTTTAGAAGAAAGCGAACCAAATATGCTTTAAAAATCATACGAATGTCGTCATGTGATTGGGCCAAAATTTCGGTCGTTTTGGACTAAATCTTCCTTAAGTTTCTCTTGTCTCACCATGAAATTGGTGGCCACTCTGGTTGCCTCTGAGTTTCTCATGGGAGCACTGACATTCAGTCTGGTCGGTCCTGTGTACACCCTACAATGTGTCTGTACAAGTGAATATTGTTCTTGACTATTTAGGGATAATATTTCTGGAATCAGGCTCAACCTTTATAGATTTGTATTTATGGAGCATCTGCAATAAAAACATGTAATTTTAGCCTTCAGATGGCCCACAAGATTTTATTGGTTTTCCCTTATAGGATCTGTGACCAAAAACCTGAGCTCTGGAGGGTTAAAGTGATGTACTTGTTCTAGGACGAGAGCTTGGTAACACTTAGATCCAATCTCTCTCAGTCCAGTGTTTACTGCTCCAAGTATCTAAACAGAAAATTGTAAATAAAATGCAGCATGAGAAAGCCAGGTGGCCTTTTACATTTCTGCAGGCAGCTGACAGCAGTAACTGCATCCTGTGATGACCACTGGGCTAGAACCCCTCTGCTTTGATCAAAACCCTCTATGGTCATCACTGGCCTATGTTACATTCCAAGGCACAGAGGAGGTTCCAGAGTGACTGAGAGGTCTCCAGGGGTTAGAACAAATGTCGACATGATTCATCTTGGACCCGAGTCTGACTCTAGCCCAGCCAGCCTCCACCATCCCCTTTCTCTGTCCCGACTGCCATCACAGCAACAGCAGGGACTCGAGAAAAGCAGGTGAGATCCGCCCCCGAGGACAGACTCCCTGGAGCCCTCAGAATAGCTCCAGCCTTGGCTTGACGCTTACATTTTTCTAGAAGGTCCGTCTCCCACCCTCTGCCTCCTGAGTCAATGTCAAAGCTCACGTTTTCTGCGAAATCTCCCACAACGGTAGCCGGCACCTCCTCCTTCTGATTAGCTCTTTGTCGGCCAGACTTGCGGCTCATGTCACCCAGTTTGACATGCAATTCTCTAAACGGCAAACCTTCTCTATTTTGTCATATGCTTTTCGTTTGGTGATCCCAGCAAGACTATAAAGTCACAGAGGTCAGGGCTCATGGTATTAATTCCCTTCTCGCTGCTCACACTTATTCTTTGTGTGCTCCCACTGGCCTCCCTTCTGGCTTCCTTTCTGACCAGTTCTCACGGTCCACACTGTCCCGCGATGGAAATCTAAATGCACACTCCGATCCACATTCCGACCACAGGATCAGCTCAGACCTTCTGTCTGCAGCCCCCCTAAACCTGACAAGCAATCGTGAGGACTTAGCAACAGTGTGCTGGCTCTGCTGTCTCAGAGACAGATCCTACAAGGGATCTGGAACCCCAGTAGGGTTCCACCCCCTCCCCTCTTGAATTTAGGGGTGGCCGCATGACTTGATCTGGCCAGTGGGATATGAGGGCACGTCGTGTTTGCCACTTTCAAGGAGAAGCTTTTAAAAGCTAGCACAAGTTTCCTTGGGCTTCTGTCTCCTGGCCACAGCAACATTCCAGGTGATGGAGTCTCTGTCGGCCTCCCAGAGTGAGAGCACCATGGAAGAGAGTCCCCTCGACAACCAGGTACCACAGACAGGATGCGACTGCTGGTCACTTACTGAGATGGGGGTTGTCTATTACAGCAGCAGCACGGGGCCCATCCAGACGCCGCAGCTGTCCTCATGGCCCTCCTCTGCGGCACCCTGTCTTGCCTCTGCCTCAACACTTGCCCATCTCCAGGCTGTCCCCCCGGACGGCCATGACTCTGTGATGACAGGGCTTGTGTCTTCCAGCCTCACTGCACGCACTCACCACACGTGCCCACCCGTGTTGAATAGACCCTGAAGTGAACCCTGGTGTTCCTGGGCTGTTCCCACGTTATCAGAGCGAATCATGGATCGACTCACAGTTGTGACAGGTGGTGCCAGCGTAGCCTGTGTCGCTGCAGTTGCAGTAGAAGGTGGCCCAGGACTGGGAGCAGCTCCCTCCGTGTTCGCAGTAGTTTGGCAAACACCTGAAGAGAGACGGAGCAAAAGCAGATGAAATAATCCAGACCAGATGGCAAAAATGTCTTCTAGCCAGCTCCACGGATCGACGGTGGAGATCGGTCTGCCGTCCTCCTGTACCTAAGTGAGACCTGAACACGTCAACATAACACCACATGTTCACCGCGAGGGGTGGGTCCATCTGGGCAGCAAAAAGCACAAAGCTGATTCAGGCAATTCTGTGAAGCGTTAAAACTCCAGTGCCCATTCTCATTGACCGCCCGTTCATTTGAAGTGCTCAGAATGTGGATGGTTTTTCATTTACCAGAGAACAAAATAGACAAAGATAGTAATTTTGCATTTTGGAAAGGTTTTGCGTTTTTAAAGGAAAGGGGAAAGGGGCAGATAATTGAGGTCATAATCCTCCAGCTTGTCTTTTGGGTGATGGCCAGGAATCTATTTCAAACGACCCATGAAATTTTGAAAAGAGGATACCGGGTCACTGGAGATGTAAGGGAATTCTGTAATTTTAAAAGTGCCAAGGCCACCCTGAAAATGAGGCCTTTACTACTTACAATGAAAACAGCATAGTTATTCTGAAAAATATTTTCACCGTACACTTTAAAAACTCTCTGAGACAATTGTATAATTTGACCCAGCAATCACACCTAGATGGCTGTTGTCAGCATATATTTCAAAATACAAAAGCTACGTGGCTAAATTATCATTATTCACAATAGCGTCAGAATGAATTAGTTTGTGTGCAACACAAGAAAATTTCTTAGGAAAGCTGTAGTACGTGAAATTAGCAGGCTGTCAGAGAACTAACAAACGATGTTAGCAGAAAGCACTGTAAAAGACTGGGACTGGATGAAGTGAAAGTTCAAGACATGAAGCATGCTCACGATGAAATAAAGCAAACGCTTTATACTGCAAAAAAAAAATGCTAAGTGTCACTCGGACTAATGGTGGTGGCGGCAATGTGCATTTCCTCTGGACAAAGATCACGGACTTCAGGGTCACGTGTATCTGAGTTCAAATCCCAGTACAGCCATTTACTGCATGGTGTCTTTGGGTAAATCTCTACACTGCAGGCATTGTTGCTACAAAGAAATAACCGGGCAAGTGTTCAATTTATAAATGAATAAAAATTAACAGTAAAAGCAACAGGGTGGGTATAGCTCAGTGGTAGGGCACGTGCTTAGCATGCACGAGGTCCTGGGTTCAATCCCCAGTACCTCCATTAATGAAAAAAAAATGTAAAAAGGATAAAAGCAATGATAAATGCTGAAATTGTGGAAAACCATCTTTACAGGATAAGTAAAATTCCACAAATTTCAACAGGCACAGGGTCTAAAGTGTGAGATTACAGAAGTGGTGTAACAGATAAAAAGGTTTACTGTGGAGCCTCGGAGCACGTGAGGCAAGGAGCTGCGGAATGATTTACCCTAAATGTCCTGTAGAGGTAGGAAACCCTCCAACAAGGGTTATCTCAAAGCCCAGAAACCAATATCCCTGCATACGCTCAGACATATTACGAGAAATTTTCTGCTCAGCACAGTGAACACACAATTATGCTGACAGGGCTTGTGTTTGGTAAGAGCTTATTGGTAACTCCGTGGTATCCAGCTAAGGCTTAAAAATGCAGGGAAAAAAAATAGGGGAAAAGAGGACCCAGTAATTTCACGAGAGCACGTGTGGACAAAAATCCACCCAATAAATAAATAAACAAAATACGGGCCCTTCTTCACTCCAAATTCTACCCCTTCTTCTTGACTTCCATCCCCAGCTCCTGGTCTGGATGGGAGAGAAAAGGAGTAATAGAATTGTCACTTGGAGGAGCCACTCTTTCCGCCCCGCATGAACCTTGTGCTGAAGAGAAGTTAAATACACTTGAAGCATCAGTGGCATCAGGTACAAAATCCAAGCATGAATCTCTGCCTCCGCTTGTGCCCTGATGAAGAGCCGGGGAAGGACCGCCTGCCTCCATACTTGTTCTTCTTCCGCATCCCTTGTTTCCGGAGACTGCTTCTCCTGCCGTGTGCCTTCCCCAGTGTTTCCCCTCTGAAACCATCAAATCCTTACATGACATCCCTAGAGCTCCATTCCAGCCCATCCCGCCCCCTCCCCCGATGCCCCCTACACACACACACTCTGATCCCAGGATTGACAAATAATGGTGTTATTTCTCTCTTCCCTCCCTCAACAAAAAGTTAATTGCTTTCTGTTTTTAATTTTGACATTTACTTCTTGGGACTAATTAGTTTTCTTTCTTTCTGTCTTAATGGAGGTACTGGGGATTAGAACCCAGGCCCTCGTGCATGCTAAGCTCATGCTCTACCACTGAGCTATACCCTGCCCCTTGCAATGATAGCTGCTTTAAAGACTCAAAGTTGAGCAAAATCAGGTCAGTAGGTACTTATCCTATAGTTCTTTTGGTTTTAGCACCAAGAAAGCTCAGATCAGACACCTCTTTTTTAAAAATTAAAAAAAAAATTGGGGGTGGTAATTAGGTTTACTTATTTATTTTATTTTTTGAGGAGGAACTGAGGATTGAACCCAGAACCTTGTGTATGCTAAGCATGCGCTCTACCACTGAGCTATACCCTCCCCCAGCCCCTTTTTGATGACTGAAGCTATAAAATAAAAGCTCAGAAGTTCTCATTGGCCATGAGAAGAAAGCTTGTCTGCAGTGTGAGAAAGAGAGATAGAGAAAAAAAAAGCTGAGGTCCAGGATACAGCGGAAAAGAGAGATGAGGGGGTCCTGACAAGACTCATGGGGCTGATTCCTGGTGTTCTCAAGATTAGGGTGCAGGTTGTTTTAATCTATCTTAGATTCTGTGAGATACACTAAGATCTTTCTAGGAAAACCCCCATTTGATTCAGGGTAGCCTGAGCTGGGATTCTTTTCTGTGAACCATCTTAACTTTTTGTAAAACAGCGTTCTTTAAATACAGGCAGAATTGGAAACACCAGTTCCCTTATAAGTTCATGCTTTAAAATATTTTTAAAACTCAAGATCAGCAAGCTAAGATGGGCACTTAGCAGGAGGGATCTTGTGGAAAACTATCAACGCTATCTGGGTCCTCTGAACATGTTTTGAAAAGCCTCACACAGACCTTGTGCTGCCCTGTTAGTAAACTCAATTTACCAACAAACAAGTAGGCAAGAAATTCATTTGCTTATGGTCACTTAAAAAAAATGCTGTATTTCTGAGAGGGAAAAAGAGTACTTGGCTAGGGAGAAATCTAACATTCACAGAATGAGAAAAAAATAAATGAATACATATGGGGCTGCCTTTGAGCTGGATTCGTTTGGGTTCAACACCCACCGTGATTAGAAAAACTCATCTGTAAAGTAGATGATCAAAAGAAGACGCACAACCCCAATTTGCTTGTTTAAAAGGGGCAGTTTTACAAGGATCATTTCCGTATTCTTTAATCAGGTCATTTCCACTGGTGTTTTGTGTCTTTTTCTACTCGGTGTGCACTGAGCACTTAAGACGTGAACCCGGGAAGAGGACAGGGTATAGCAACGGTGGAGCACAGAGACTGTTACGTGCAGGGACAGCCACGATCTCAGGGTGAAGGTGCTGAATTCAGATCACTAGGAGATGATCATTCTGAACTGCTCTCTTCCAAAATCCTCATCATAATTCATGTATCACTGAATCTGCTGGATAGGCCCGCTTGAGGCATCATCTGTGGTGGAACAAACAAAGCTTTCCACATAAACACTACTGTTTTTGTCATATTCTTCCGGAGCCCGAATGAGCTGGCATCGTGACGTGTGTCATCCAGGACTCGGGGAGCAGAACACACACATCAGAAGCCATTCCCTCTTGGTAAAAGCAGGGTATGTGTGATCAGCAGGGAGATGAGAGAGAGATTTGAATGAAGGGAAGGTGGAGAAGAGTGAGGAATGGAAGGAGGGAAAACAAAACAATACAATAGGGACAAACGTCATATACACAAGTTTTATACAGGACTGTATAATTTTCCACAAAATCCAAACTTCCTCCAGAGGGAGGGTGTAGCTCAGGGGTAGAGCTCATGCCTAGCGTGCACAAGGTCCTGGGTTCAATTCCCAGTACCACTGTTTAAAAAAATAAAAATAAAACCTAAAATTACCTCCCCCTATTAAAATCAAATCTTAAAAAAAAAAAGAAAAAACTTTCAATAGAGAAGAAAGATCTTTGCTAGTTGGGACGGTAGACCAGA